TCACTTGAACCCAGGGGGCAGAGGTTGCAGTGAGTCGAGATTGCACCATTGCACTCCGGCCTGGGCCACAAGAGTGAAACTCCGCCTTAAAAAAAAAGGCATTTCAGTTTTTTAGCTTTGAAAATATGTCCATTCTAATATATGTAGCATCGGAGGCTCTTTCTGCTTTGGGGACCAGCTGATGTGTATATTATTCAGTGAGATAGAGATTCTTCCAATGTCTTGAGAATGAAATAGGATCTTGAGTACTTTCATTGAGGTCTTAAATATAAATGCATGGATGTCACAACTGGGCAACATTTTAATGCCTCCTTACTCACCATTTGTTGATTCAGAAATAAATCCTGACCAGAGGCAGCATAGCATAAAAGAGTCAGCCAATTTCCCTGTATTGTGTGTTGCAGTTTCCTCATTTGGAAATAGGGTTTATGTGCCTACCTCATTGTTCGGAGGAATGAGAGTATACTCAGTAAATACAATGCTGACACAAGTACCTAATTGTTAAGCTTCCCTCCTTTCTTTCTTCCTCTGGTTTGCCTTCATCTCCCCCTATAGGGGAGCATTATCTGAGAATATTCTTGTATATTTCTTAACCTGTTTTAGTACATTAGGGCTTTTAAACCATTGAGTGGAAAATTGCTGTTACTTGAGATACTGTGAGCCTAACACTATAGTAATGCCAGTTTTCTACAAATCATGATGTTCTCTCTGTCCATTAGATGGCAGGAGTTCCTTTGGCCATGTTTTGTGAGGAAGCCGCCCTAACATGTTTGGACTGGTGTATCAGTAAGGCTACTGAGGGAATGTATTCTCTTTCAGGGTCCACAAGGGGGCATAGTTTTAAGGGCAAGAACTTCCCAGTAACATGCCCCCACCCCACCTCTCTCCATCCCGGAAATTTAACAGTTTTTGCAGGCACCGGAAAAACCAAAGTCAATCACTACAGTAGAAGTTCCAAGGAACTCCCTTCATTGGCCAGGGGTCTTAGAGAAGGTGGGGTTCCTCCCAGGTTTAAAGTTCCCTTCTTCCACACCCCTTTGGACTCCATGTTTGGATCCCCTTCTACCCTCGTGGAAGCCATCTTTCTCTGTCCTGGATTTCCCCTCTGGAGTCGCCTTCCACACTCTCTAGTGAAAGCCTGTCTTCCCCTCCTAAACACCATCTCTCTATTCCCTTCCACTCAGTGTGGAAACTGCTTTCCTCTCCTGGATCCCATCTTTCTGGATTGTCTCACTCGATGTGAGAGGAGCTTTCCTTTTCTGGTTTTCCGCCTTCTGGGAAGCCTTCTCACTCAGTGTGAGAGCAGCTTTTCTTTCTCTCACTCAGTGTGAGAGTTAGGTGTTTCTCTCTCTCTTTCTCTCTACCTAAATAAGTCACTTTCTACAACTACTTTTTGGGCCCGGCCTTTACTGTGCACTGCGCCGTAGTCTCCTTTCCCATTCTTGGGGGAATGATAGACCAAGAACCTGGAGAAACATCCCCTCACGGGAACTCAGGGCTCCCCTGAACCCCAACATTACACTGCTAGAAGGGAAAACAAGGTAGACAAAATAAACTGGCTCTTACATAAGTAAAACAATTTTACCAAAGGAAGAGCTAGTAATTATTACTCCCCTCATCTTTTCTAACCACAGATTTCTTATATCTTCTATTCCTTCTCTTCTGGGCTTTTGCGTATCCTGTTTCCTCTGCCTGGAGCACTTCGCCACCAAACCGCAGCTTCCTTCACCTAGCTAACTCCTCTTCATCCTTCAGGTCTCAGTTCAGCATCACTGCCATTAGGAAGTCTTATTAAACGTCTCATTCTGAGCTCAGAATACCATATCCTTCCTCGACCCCATCCTGCTCATTGTATAGTACCCTGCTCATCATATCGTAGTAGTACCCTGCTCAAATGTTGCCTCCTCACACAGGCCTCCCAGTTCACTCTGACTCATTGTCTCTTTCTCTGGCATGTAGAGCAGTGCTGGGGACAAGTAGACATTCAACCCTATGGTAAGAAATGGCTTTGCTCCCCCAGGACTTTGTAGCTTGTAATCATCCCTCCTGCGGCACTTATAGCACTATATTATCAGTCCTCTATTCTATAACACCTACTAGATTGTGAGTGTCAGGACAACAATTAGGTCTATTTCATGCACCATTGCATCTCCCGTGCCTGGCACAGAATAAGGCCTCAACGAATATTTGTTGAAAAATGAGCACTACTCAGCCTCCTGAGTAGCTAGGACTACAGGCACATGCCACCATGCCCAGCTAATTTTTTGTGTTTTTAGTAAAGATGGGGTTTCATTATGTTGGCCAGGCTGGTCTTGAACTCCCGACCTCAGATGATCCACCCGCCTTGGCTTCCCAAGGTCTTTTTTTTTTTTTAGACAGAGTCTTGCTCTGTTACCCCAGCTGGAGTGCAATGGCATGTGATCTCGGCTCACTGCAACCTCTGCCTCCCAGGTTCAAGCAATTCTCCTGCCTCAGCCTCCCGAGCAGCTGGGATTACAGGTGCCAACCACCACGCCTAGCTAATTTTTGTATTTTTAGTAGAGACGGTTTCGCCATGTTGGCCAGGCTGGTCTCAAACTCCTGACCTCAGGCGATCTGCCCACCTCAGCCTTCCAAAGTTCTGGGATTACAGACATGAGCCACTGCACCCAGCCTACTAAGTAGGTTTTATGTTGATCTGAATTATCAATGAGTGAATTTAGAATTAATGTCAAACTTTGTAGGAAGTTGAGCATGGCTTGCAGAGCAAGAATTTGGGAGAACACAGAAGGTTTGAAGAGCTAAAACAGGTGTTTTTGAGCAGCCACCAGGTGACCAAACAGATATAGTGATATAAAAATATGCAGCCGGGCGCGGTGGCTCACGCCTGTAATCCCAGCACTTTGGGAGGCTGAGGCAGGTGGATCACGAGGTCAAGAGATCGAGACCATCCTGGCCAACATGGTGAAACCCCGTCTCTACTAAAAACTACAAAAATTAGCTGGGCGTGGTGGCATGTGCCTATAGTCCCAGCTACTCGGGAGGCTGAGGCAGGAGAATTGCTTGAACCCAGGAGGCGGAGACTGCAGTGAGTCAAGATGGCGCCACTGCACTCCAGCCTGGCGCCTGGCAACACAGCAAGACTCTGTATCAAAATATATATATATACAACAGGATATATATATAAAATATACAAAAATATGCAACAGGATAACCTATATGGATTTAGATAGCTATAAGAAATGGGCTGAAATATATCAGAAAAATACTCAGATTTGAAACACAAGAACACAAGATTTACTCTGGGTCATTTTGTTTGTTTGTCTGAGACAGAGTTTCACTCTTGTCGCCCAGGCTGGAGTGCAATGGCACAATCTCAGCTCACTGCAACCTCTGCCTCCTAGGTTCAAGCAATTCTGCCTCAGCCTCCCGAGTAGCTGGGATTATAGGCCTGCACCACCACACCCAGCTAATTTTTGCTCAGGGTATTGATGAGCAAATGATGTTCACATATGAGCCCTCCTCTGTGAAGGGCCCAGGAAAAAAGTAGAACATGGCTCCGGCCAGAGCCTGTCAGAGTCAGGAAGGGCCTAGGTCACTTCTATTTTTTAAAGGATTCCCATATGTGTTTTTTCTTTTTTTTTCCTGTTGAAGACTGTAACATGGGCCAGGTGCGGTGGCTCACACCTGTAATCCCAGCACTTTGGGAGGCCAGGGCGGGCAGCTCACAAGGTCAAGAGAGAGAGACCATCCTGGCCAACATGGTGAAACCCAGTTTCTACTAAAAATAAAAAAAAATTAGCTGGGTGTGATGGCATGCGCCTGTAGTCCCAGCTACTTGGGAGTTCGAGGTAGGAGAACCACTTGAACCCAGGAGGCAGAGGTTGCAGTGAGCCAAGATTGTGTCACTGCACTCCAGCCTTGTGACAGAGCAAAACTCTGTCTAAAAAAAAAAAAAAAAAAAAGGCCAGGCGCGGTGGCTCACACTTGTAATCCCAGCACTTTGGGAGGCCGAGGTGGGTGGATCACAAGATCAAGAGATCGAGATTGGCCTGACCAACATGGTGAAACCCAGTCTCTACCAAAAATGCAAAAATCAGCCAGGTGTGGTGGCACGCACCGACAGTCCCAGCTACTTGGGAGGCTGAGGCAGGAGAATCGCTGGAATCCTGGAGGCAGAGGTTGCAGTGAGCCAAGATCGCCCCCACTGTGCTCCAGCCTCATCACAGAACGAGACTCTGTCTCAAAAAAGAAAAAAAAAAAGGACTGTAACTACAAAAGGGACATAAAATGTATATATAGTAGAATAACAACTATGTAAACACACCAAAAATCTGTGCACAGAAAAGTCTAGGGGAACATTTAACACCAAAAGATTAACAGTGGTAGCATTTGGGTGGCAAACTGATTCTTTCTAAAATTCTCAAATTTTCATTAATAAGCAGTAATTATAATTGCAATGGAAAACAATTTTTTTTAAGTACCCCTCTGGCTGAGCAGCTCAGTGTTGCTGTCAAATACACATCAGTGGCTTTGGCCCTGACTCCTAAGAGGGTGGCAAATGCTGCTGCCCCACTCCCCATCCACCCCCAAGAGAGCTTGAGCACCTCTGGCTCCGCTGAGAGAATCCATGCAGCCCCAGCCCTCAGAACTTCTTCTTTTGTTTTTGCCTTATCCCCTACCACATCATCTCCACCCAAGTCCAGGTATACCTTTTCCCTCTCCTTCTTAACTCAGGAGGCGCTTTGCAACCACAGGGCCCAAAACATGAGGTGGCATGTTTTCAAAGAACCTGGCGCCTCAGTTTGGGATACACAGGAAGTCAAATACAAATCATTTTTCCTGCTGCTGGGTAAGTCATGTTTTGCAGCCGCTCTGGTTGCAAATATGTGAACTTATGTAGCCTTTCCTGTCAACCCACGGTTCTAAGCACTCTCTCTTAGCAATTATTCCTATCATGAATTTTCTACCCTGAAAAGCCAGGGGTGGGCAGTAACAAGATCATTTGGTTTCTAAATGTCTCCTCTCTGGGAAAGCAGAGCTATACAGTGGGTAGCATCCTGCAGATTCTAACCTATATTTGGGAAAGGTGTACACCTCTTGCACTTTCAGTTTGAGAAGGAACAAGTCAAAAAGTAATTGCTTTAAAAGTGCTAGCAATTCACAGCCTATTCCTGCCGCTGAACAGAAATTGTGATGCTTTGATTTACTCCCTAGCAGCTACGTATTTTTGAGCAAGTCATAACCTTCTTGTGCCTCAGTTTCTGGATCTGCAAGGAGTGTTGCCTGAATAAATGTTTGTTTAGGAACTTAGTAAAATGACATACCACTCTTTCTGCTCTAAGAAGGCCATCAGCCAGCTGCAGCTTGCCTCACTCAGCCTGGGCCTGACTAGAGCCCCTTCCTCTTCTGAGAGAAAGCAAAGCAGCAAGCAAGCAGACATACCAGGTAAACGGGAGTGATCTATCATTGGCAATGAGGCCTCAAACTGCAAATGCTCTTGCTCCAGCACCCTATCCCCAAATGCCACCAGCCAGACACAGAAGCCATGCAAGAGTGACTATCTCTCTCTCTCTCTCTCTCTCACACACACACACACACACACACACACACACACACACACAGGCACAGACAGAGCACCACCAAGCAAAAAAGGGGGCTAATACTGCAGACAGGACCCCAAAGTGCGGCTTGAGGAACACAGGGAGACATCCCCAGACCCTCACTTAGCTGCCATGGAAACAGCAAACGCTATAAGCTTTGCTTCATTCAGTCCTCCAAAATGAATACGTTAATAGGAAAAACTCACTAACACTTGTGGCAAACACTGTCAGCAAGGAACAGTCTGTCTCCTGGGCTGCAGGACTCCATCTGCTTCAGCTGAACTCTCAGAAACTACAGATGAGATATATGCAAATGCATACACATACATGCATATCTGTATGCACACAGATCTATTTAAATGAAGGTGCATACACTGTGCTAAAATACGACAGAAATCAAAGGTCATATATAAAAAAGCTAACTGTAACACAGGCCTAGAAGCAGCTCTTGGTTGGGAACTGGGGAAAGGGGTGGGATCATCTGAAGACTATATACAAAATCTGTGGTGGGCAGGGAAGGCATCAGTGTAAACAATTCAGACTCACTTCACAATACTGGCCCACAAGAAAGTGTGACATGTCTCATGTACAAAAATAGACTCCCACCTTGCTTTTATACATCAAGCTTGGTGGGCATCCAGGGGGACCATGGGTTTGTCTTAATGACAGGGCACTGCATCAGGCTGTTGCTAAACCTTCCAGCCCTAGGAACTCACCTACTACCCTCCCCCTTTCCTCCCTCTCAGGCCCTTTTCCCACCCAATACTACAGCCTGAGGCCTGCCTGACCACCTAGCCTCACACAACTAACTGCAGTGACTAACTGCATGGCTTCCTGCACGCAAGGTCCTCCTGTATTTGTCCCTTTCTCTGACCCCAAGATACATTAAAACAGTTCTTTAAATGCTTGGCACCTAAGAAACAGGATGATGCCACAAGTACACAGGGACGCCCCGTAACAAGACATGCAGGTGAGGGCAAGGGGAACTGAGCTGCCTGAGAACGTCAAAACCAGGACTAGCTTCCCATGCATTCAGAGGGGTAGGAGAAGGGATGTGCAGAACTGATGACTTCATCAGCTCCTCAGCAGCATGTACATTCAGACTGAAGCTGTCTCGAGAGCCCCACTATACCCAAATCGTGAGTCTGGTCACTCCTCCAGCACTGCACTCCTCCAGGGCTTGGTGCAGTGACAGCTAGAAAAGCTGAGTTCCAATTGAGTCTGTGGCACCAGAGTCTTTTGAAGACGCTCAGCAAAGTAATCATTTTCTTTTGAGCAGATGTACAGCACAGCCATGGGAAGGCCATGTAAAAGGATGTTCTCCAGCCCAGTCAAACGATCCAATCCCACTATTATCTCAGTCCCCTCTGAGTTTTTTCCTGCTGGTCGCCCTCACTGTACAGAAATAGCCAAGCAGCATCAGGGTCAGTTATCAATGGTGGGCAACCAGAAGGCCATGTTGGAACACGAACTGGCAAAAGTCATGAACTTGGGGTTGAATTGCCAACAGGTAATTGGGCCTGTGTGTTTACCATCCAACACAGCTACTTTTATACCTCTCTCTCCGTTCCAGACATGGTCTTGTCATCCTCTGAACCAATCATAATAAACTGAGAGTCTGGAGTAAATGAAGCCTGCAGTGTGACAGCTTTGCTGTTGGCGTAACCCCCCAATGTGTGCATCACCCCTCCTTTGAATGCTTCAGGGAGAGGAATGAAGCTGCCCTTGGTGGAAATGAGGATGAGCTTGCCATCGTTGCTGAAGTCCTGTCCACTCACAAGTTCGATCATACTGCATCTTAAAGGTAGCAAATGGCCCCTTATCAAAAAAACAAAGGTCATAAAGTTTGACCATTTCAGAGCTGACACCAGCAGCGAAAATTAACCCTTCTGGATCAGAAGAACAAACTGACTTCCCCTGGAGATGCATGAGGCCCTGGCAGTTAGGAGCCCAGAGATCCCAGAGTCGAATGGTCTTAGCAAGAGACCCAGAAATTAAAGCGTCATCCGCAGGTGACATGGACAAGGCCACCACCCTTTGGCTATGTCCAGGAAAGTATCTAATGTATTTATTGTCATGCAAGGAGAAGTAACCAATAGTACCGTCTATTATGTGAGAGTAAACAACTGTGTTTGCCGCATGAGGTCCACGCCATATTTCTTACTGAACAGGGTTCTCTTTGGTTTGCCCTCCTGGCAGTCATACAGCACGATGGAGTCGTCGTCGCTGCTTGAGGTGACCGTTTCGCCGTTGGGGCTGAAATCGAAACGGTTAATCTCGTCCGAGTTTTCGCAGAACACCTTGGCAACGCGGAAGCTCCGCAGCACGCGGTAGGTCAGCTTCCCGGAGGCGTCGGGGAGGGCGGCGGCGGTGCAGGGCCGGGGCGGGCGGGGTGCCGAGGGGCCAACCCGGGCGAGGCGCGCGACGCGCTGGCGGCTGGGGGACAGTGGCCAACTGTTGAGCCACCTCCTCGTCTTCCGCCTGCTTGGACGACAGTCTTATGGCTGGACTGTGGAGCCTCGCCGACCGTTCGTCCTCACAGCCACCTCACAGGCAACCGGCGCGGCGCCGGCTCACTGTGTCCGCCATCTTGGGACGACAGGCAGAAACCGAGCGGATCCCAATGCATAGATATATTTAAATATATTTTTTTAGACACAGGCTCCTGCTGTGTTGCCCAGGCTGGACTCAAATGCCTGGGCTCAGGTGATTCTGCTGCCTCAGCCTCCTTCGTACCTCAGATTACAGGTACATGCCACCATGCCCAGCTCTGTTATTTTTTTGAATGACAAAGCAGGTTTTTGAAAATGATAGTTTTAAAATATTTTCATTTAACAGATTAACACCTTTAACACATAATTTATAATGAATGTATGTATTAAGTTGAGCCACATGAAACTGGATATTCAACTATTTTTTTAACCTAGAAAATCAATGAGGTCATGTAGTTTAGCCTAATACAACCTCATTTTTAGGTAAATGTTAGAAGTCTGTATTTGAGGCCCTGCCTTTAGTGTCTGTGAGGCCCTAGCTAAGTGAACTGCTGCCCGTCCAACTCTCCCAATACTGAGGGCATCCCAACTGCGTGTAAGTGTGAATGCTCAACCTCTAAACAAAAGGGATCTAAGCCCTCTGACCAAGCAGTGGAGACTGACTGTGGGGCTAAAAGAAAACTGAAATCTAGAATTCTAAATTCTGGAGAAGCCTATAATATATATTGAGAAGGAAATGTGTGAGATATCTTCGTATGTTTTTCCAAGTACAAATGCTGGAGGCGTCTCTGTCCTAAGTTCCCAAGAAGAAAACGCAGCAGTGCCTGATGCATAGTGGGCCTACAGAAATGTTAACAGGCTCATTTTCTCCATCACTCAACTGATTGTCTCCTCACTCGCTACTACTAAAGGTAAGATCGGTTCTGTTTTACTCATTCTTCCCAACTTCAACACTGAAAACGTTGTTAAACAACTCCAAGCTCTTTCCTTTCCCTTTTGCTCTGATCTCAGACATATACCGTCCTCCGTCTTCCCTTAATTTCCTTGCCCACTTGCTTCTCTGGCCTTCCCTTTCTCTACATCCTTTTTGCCTTTGCCTCCTCCTGTGCCTGTGGTAACCACTGGGTAGTAAATGAAGAAGCCATTGCATTCCCCTACCCCCACTTCATATCCTAAACTCACCTTCCCTGACCTTGAGAGGGCATGAGATGCATCTCGGTGCTCTCAATAAAGCAAAGTTGTTTTAATAAGCCCAGTGAGATTAAAATGTTGAAATTCTTCTCACTCTCATCACTGCAATGTGAGATGGATTCAAATATATTGCAATACCATAGCCTTGGTTCCTTCCCAGATACCATGTTTATACAATCCATCCAAGCAGGAGCTTAGTAGCGGCACATGAGTCCACTGAACTGAATACTTCCCTAATTGCACAATTAACAGGTGGCACACATTTGAATTGGCAGCTGGACTGCAGTAGGTGGAAATAAGAAGGTTGTGTTCCTTTGTGTGTGAAGTCATGTATACTTTTTCCAGCATATGATGAAGTTGCAATAAGAAGGAAAATCTGGACTTCAGCTTTTGGGTTTTCCTCTGGATATAAAGTTTAGAGAATCTCTCCATGCTGTAAAACTTTGTAGCATTTTGTATCGGTTGTGGAGCATCATTTCCTTAATCCTGCCTCTCAGTGTCAGGATTTGCATGCCTGGTCTTATCCTTGAGCAGCTGCCAGGTCCTACAGATTTTCACATTCCAACATCATCCCTTTACTCACCCAGCGTCTCGCATAAGTCCTTTGAATGCACAAAGTTAGCATTCAATGACTATTTATTGCACTATTAAAGTTGCTTTGCTTTGGAGCTGTTTTTATCTAACCCTTCCTTCCACTGTCCCATTTTATTTAGAAGAACTTAGTATTTTATATATTAGAAGGATGGCTGTTAAGGGATTCAAACTGGCAGGTCTCAACAGCTGCATTTTTTGGGGGAAACTCTTAATACACAGGAGTGGTCCCCAGTGATCACATTAGTGTTCTGGGACCCTACCTTGTCTCCCCAACACATCCTACCATAGCTGATTGATCCAGGGAATATACCTAACAAACTGTCACTTCCAGATATTTAAAACCTTAAGGGAGTGGGCTTAAGCTGAGTTCTAGTAAAGACTTGGATCCTGAGGGAAGATTCAAAGGCTTATTTATAATTTATTTATTTTCATTTTTCTTTTTTTTTTTTAAGAGAATTTCAAAGCTACTGCAAATCAACAAAAGCTTATCACTAGGGCTGTCCTTATTCCCACTTCACCTGATCTCTGGTCTTTCAGCTCCTCAAATCCTACGAGCTGCCCCAGCATCCTTCTAGGTAATTCCTTTTGTTGTCAAGTTGACTAATACCCATTTCTGTTGCACACATTCAGTTGACCTAAGCCAACACAACGATTGGGAGGGGCACAGAGAAAGTCTGTTAGGCTTTGAGCCTGATGCCACCTTCAACTTGCTGTGTGGTAAGTTACAAGCCAACTTGAACCTCACACTGTCATCTTTAAATACATGTTATCAACAGAGATTCAAGACAATGCCAGCAAGAATATATTGAAAGATGGACAGAATTGTAAGATGCAGACGTGGCAGAGAAAGTATATTCTGAGAACGATGAACAGCACAGGAAAAGACATGGGCATAGGAAAGCAGGGGCCTCTTTGGAAAGTAGAAAGAACCCCTCTGGAGCATAGGGTTTCTTGTTTTAAAATGTAATGGTTTTATTATTATTTAGGTATAGCCAGGCCAGCAGATTAGATGACTGTTATCAAAAAGATAGTTGTACTCACAGATGCCAAGAGAAGCAGGTATGCCATACTACAGGGGCCACTCAAGGAAGCACCAGCATCTGTCAGGAGGCAGAAGGAAATGAGAAAACATGAGCAAGAGCCTTTATGGTGGTTTCCATGGGAAAGAATGGGCAAGGCAGATTAAGGAGATTAAGGATTGACTAGTTTGAATAATTTCAGCTAGCTCAGGGGCATAGGGACTACCCTTAGTTGTCTGGTAACTGGCCCTGGAGTGATCAGGGTAGGAGATTATGGTCCTAAGTATGACAGCCCAACAGAGAAGATATTTGCAGCTGTGGGCTCTGGATTGGTTGGTTTGCCTTTGAAAGGTGTGCTCAAGGGCAAGTTGTTTATTATGGTCTCTAGGAATTGGCTAGCCCTGGAAGGGGCAGCCACTCCAGGGTCAGCAAATCCCCAGATGTCAAAGCATTAAAATACAAAAAATAAATAACTTGGTTAACACATTCCTGTAGGAAAGTACCAGGATTTGAAGGAAGAAATGGAAGCTGAGTGTAGATTATAAGGGACCACAAATGTTAAACTAAGGAGTTTGGTTTTCATTCCACAAATAATGTTCTGAAGCACCCTGAAGGATTCTGAGCAGAGGAATAATACCAGAGCTGTGTATTAGGAATATTACTCTGGTGTCTTTGGACAGGATGGGGTAGCATTTAAGGACCAGATCAACAGGTCCAAGTAAATACTGGATGTGGTATTGAGGGAAAAATAGGAATAAAAACCAACTGCAAAATTTCAAGCCTTTTTAACCGGAGAATAGTGCTACTATTAATAGATACAGGTGTCTGAAAAGAAGACATCTCTAACAGGAGACAAGAGATAAGTGGGCAGAAATAATGAGTTGTGCTTCAGAGATGTTGATGTGACCATGTCCAACAGGAGTTCTCGTGTAGTGTTACGTGTGTGATTATCTGGCATTTTGTGTGTCTCAACTCCCCAAACTGTCAGAAGAACCTCACAGGACTTGTATCTTACTGGCTTTGTCCCTCCCTCATACCTAGTGCAGTGCCACATTCCTCTGGTCCTTGCCGAGATCCTTTGCAAGGTTAGCACAGGCTATTTCTCGGGGGGCACATCTACCAGAATTTGTCCCTGTAGGAGAAGAACCACTCTGGGCTCTCTGACTGCCAGGCTGGGGTCTAAAGATGTCACGAGTTTGCACGCTCAGGACATGGTTAAGGCTTAACTCTAGTGAGCCATGGTTTCCTCACACTACATAAAACCCTTTCTGAATGTTCTCTAAGATCTTTTCTAGTGCCAAAATTCTGTGAATAACTTCTGAGATATTGTAATGCTAGAAAGGTACCTAGAGCTACCTAGCAGATCAGGGAAATTGCCTACCCTAGTTATTTCAATATCAAATTTAGGCAAGCCTCTTTCATCTTGACTCCTACTAGACCTGGTTAACCTGAGAAACAATTAATTCTAAAGGTATTAAACTCTCTCTATTCTTTCCCCATCCTCTTAACCTTGTTCTTACCTTATGCCCAACACAAGGCACCCCCACCAAGTTTGCTTCTCTATTGGGGTCAGTAGGTTCCAATTTATACCTCAAACACAACAGGCAGATGTCAATCACTGAACTAATTCAGGACTTCTTTGGAGTATTCTAATTCGAGTACAAGAACGTGGGCCATAAATGGCAAATAAAACATACATGCAAAATGTAAAGTGGTATGATGAAGAAGAAAACAAGAGAAGGAAGGGGGAAAGGAAGTCACAGTTTTTAAGGGTCTTCCATATATGGCTCTTTACTAGATTTCCTGGGTCCTTGTGTTAACCACTCCGATAGTACCTTGAACTTCAATTTTAACATCATCAGTGTTGTAAACATATTCAGTATCTCTCTTCCTGTTAGAATGTATGTTCCATGAAGACAGAGACTATACAATGTCTGTCTTATTTACATCTCTATTCTGGTTCCTCCCAGAGTTCCAGGCAAATGGTGGCTGGTAGGTAAGTATTACATGAATAATTGAATAAACACATTTAATCCTGACAGTGATGCAAAGTAATAATATCTCAATTTTACAGAAGTTGAGGCTCAGAGGGATACAGTGACTTGCCTGTGGTCACATGGCTAGAAAGTTGAAAAATCAAAAGACTGAAAGTGGCTACCTGAAGCCAGGCTCCTCTATTCCCCGACAAGTCCCTTGTGAAAACTCTCCCATGCAGTTTCACAGTCATGTTCTGTGTCTGTTCTTTGTAACAGAAATGGGCCACAGATAACTTAAGCAAAACAGAGTTTAATGGATGATATCAGGGGTTCACAGAACGGAAGAACAATTAAGAAACTGGGGCAGAGAAACTTCCAGGAGGAGGAGTGAGTAAAGGCTGAGCAAGGTCCATGGAATCAGCTCTTCTCCAACAGGTTTTTTTCATTCTTTCTCATCACTCGTCTCAATTCAGAGTCCAGGAGAGAGAATTTAATTGGCTAAAGGAGGGCAGAATGCTTTATTGACAGCCCCACCAAGACTGTATGTAATGGGAAAGAGGAAATTCCCCCCAAATAATCCAAGTGATCTTACCATAAAAAAGTGGGAGTGTGTTCTAGGCATCCAAAAAATAAAAATAAAAATAAAAAGCAGTGTCCACGGCAAACTGCTACATGGAGACTGCCAACACCCTGAACGAGAAATGAGTCCTCCCCTCAAGCTGCTGCTTTCCTGTTCACCCCCAGGAGGTGCTCATGGAGGATGAGGGGGTAAATGGGGGATCTATCACAGTGCCATCCTTGAATGCCAGCAGGGCTCCTCCTTAGAAGTTTCTAAAGTGTTGAAGAAAGTGAGAACTCACTTGTCTCCCATCCAACACCCACCCTCCCCCAGCTAACTTGACTAGGCTTTTTTTGTTGTTGTTATTGCTTCTGTTTTTGTTCACACCTTCCTGTGGGATCATTTCAAAACCCTATTTCCTGATGACCCAACATCCTTCTGCAATCAACTAGCAGGGGGTGAAGCCTGCCAAAACCTCAGGTAGCAGATCTGTCGGGCACCATTTTCAGCAACATCCTGTGTTCGCAACTTTCTAACTCAGCTCCAAATGCCAAGTTTGGTTTGTGAAAATTTCCATGGCCTCCTGCTAAGCTACTCTTCTCATATCCCAGCTCACAAACACAGAGATGTTGACCTCTCATGCTGGGCCCCAGCCACCACCCTGTCCTCTGTATCATCATTGCCTTACACCCGGCATTTTTAATGTTGATAATAAGCTCTGGCTTCTGAAGTATCCCAACAACCACTTTTGGGAGGGGGTCATATTAGGAACCCAGAGGGGTTAAGGAACCCTTTTATAGTCACACGGTGTAATGGTGGCAGAACAGTACTGGAAACTAAGGCTCTGGCCACATTCCCAGCCTTCTTCCCCAATAAGGCAGCTTATTCAGTACAGTGAGAGGCTTATAATTCTGCTATAATATACCCAGAGAACCACAGTTCTACAGTTGCAACAAAGCTCTGACTTTTCTCTAGAAGTAATTGGTTTCATAATTTTCCCTCACATCCCATACATTACCTTCAATATATATTATTTTTATTTTTTTAATTAATTATTTTTCTTTTTTTCTTAGAGACAAGGTCTTGCTGTCACCCAAGCTGGCATGCAGTGGCACAATCATAGCTTACCACACAGCCTCAAACTCCTGTCTTCAACTGATTCTCCAACTTCAGCAGTCCAAATAGCTAGAACTATAGGTGCTACCATGCCTGGCTATTTTTTCTAGAGTCAGGGTGTTGCTATGTGGCCCAGGTTGGTCTTGAACTCCTGGCCTGAAGCAATCCTCCTATCTAGGTCTCCCAAAGTGCTGGAATTACAGGCATGAGCCACTACACCTAGCCAATATGTATATTACTTTTAATGGTACAACTATCTTGAGATTTACCATTAGCCTCATTTCAGAGGGAAAAACTGAGGTTTAAAGAGGGTAAATAATTTGTCTGAAGTTCGTATGGTTAGTAAGTAGTATAATCAAGATTCAAACCTAGCATGCTGGCTCCAGAGTCCCTATGTTTTTTCGTTGCACTTAAATTCATTACGATCTCCCATAGGTGTTTTCTGTCCTCCTGTAACCACACATGCACATATACATATACTCACGCACATACACACACACACACACAAACCCCTTCTCCCCAAAGATCTATCTAGCAATCTCTCTGTCCTTTGTTTTAACAGCTTTATTGAAGTATAATTTATATACCATAAAATTTACCTATTATAAGGATACAGTTTGATTTTAAGTAAATTTATACACTTGTACAATAATGACAATTACAATAATTCAACTTTAGTGCCTTTTCTAGAAATTTCGCATAAAAAAAGATACAAAACATATTTTATGTCTGATTTTTTCTACTTAGCATGTTTTTGAAATTTATCCATATTGTTGCATGTATCAGTAGTTCATTCCTTTTTATTGCCAAGTAGTAGCCCACTGTATGAATATAACACATTTTGTTTACACACCAGCTAAGGGACATTTGGATTATTTCCAGCTTGGAGTAGTATGAATAACATGGCTATGAACACTCGCATATAAGTCTTTATGTGAATCTATGTTTTCATTTCTCTTGGGTAGATACTTAGGAGTTTAATTGCCAGGTCATATAGTAAACATATGTTTAACATTTTGAGAAACTTCCAAACAGTTATCTAAATTAGCTGTATCATTCTATGGTTTCAATTTCCCCACATCCTTGTTGACAGTTGATATTATCAGTGGGTATTAATGGTTCATTATTGTTTTAATTTGCATTTCTCTAATGAGTAATAATGTTGAACATCTTTTCATATACTTAGTGACCATTCATATGTCTGCTTTGGTGCAATATCCAAATCTTGCTCATTTAAAAAAATCAGTTTGTCTTATTGAGTTCTTTATATTTTCCGAATATAAATCCCTTATCAGATATATGATTTGCAAATATTTTCAAGTCTGTGGCTTGCCTTTCCATTTTCTCAATAGTATCTTCTGAAAAACAAAAGTTTTAAATTTTGATAAAGGTGAATTTATTAATTTTTAAGGATCATGTTTTTGGTATCACATCTAAGAAACCTTTGCCTAATCCATGTTTCTCCTATGATTCCTTCTGGGGATTTTATAGTTTAACTCTTACATTTAGGCTGTGATTCATTTTCAGTTAATTTTTACACATGGTTGGTATGAGGTAAGGATTTTTTTTTTTTTTTTGCACAGGAATATCCATTGCTCCAGCATCATTTATTGAAGATGATTGAATTACCTTGACACCCTTGTCAAAAATCAATAGACTATAAATATAAGAGTTTATTTCTGGAATCTGTTCTTACAGATTCCATTGATGTATATGCCTGTCTTTAAGTCAATGCCACACTGTTTTGATTACTGTAGCTTTATTTTAAAATCCAACTTTGTTCTTTTTCCAAGTTGTTTTGATTTCTCTAGGTTCTTTGCATTTTCATATAAATTTTAGTACCAGCTTGTCAAGTCCTACAAAAAAAAAAACACCTATTTTTTATATGGGTTGAGTTGAAACTATAGATTGATTTGGGGACAATTGCTATCTTAACAATTTGAATCTTCCAATCCATGAACATTGTGTATCTCTCCATTTGGTTAGATCTTTTTAAGTTTTTCTCAACAATGTTTTGAGGTTTTCAGTATATAGGTCTTAAACTTCTTTTGTTAAAATTATCCCTAAGTATTTTATTCTTTTTATGCTATTATGTGTGCAATTGTTTTCTTAACTTCATTTTTGGATTATTTGTTATAGTGTGTCCTGCAACCTTACTAAGTTTACTTATTTGTTCTAGTAGATTTTTATAGATTTCTTAGGCTTTTCTACATACAAACTCATGCCACCTGTAATAAGGACAGTTTTACTTCTTCCTGCTTCAGTCTGTATGTCTTTAATGTCTTTTCTTGCCCTTGTGCACTGGCTAGGATCTCTTGTATAAAGCTAAAGAGAAGTGGTGAGAGCAAACATTCTTGACTTTTTCTGCCCTGTCCTTTTGACCTGTCCTGGATGTTCTGTTTTCAAAGGGAATCCTGATGCCTCTTACAGAGAGGAGAAGGAAAAGCTTTTCTACTTCCTTAGAGGGTCCCTTCAGCATCTCCTTCTGCTTTCTTGCCTAAAAGACTTATGAAACTCATAAGATACCCATCTCTCTCTCAAAGGTCCCTCTGGAGCAGCCTCATCCTCAGCACCAGAGTTGTAGTACCTCAGAGGAGTAGCACTTGCTTTTTGTCCCCTTCCATGGGGATTCAGTGAGAAAGAATTAAACATTAACTACAATGTTTGAAACTCTGGTGAAAGATCTTCCTAAACCTCAAAAGGAGCTGGGAATGAGTCTCAGGAGAAGACCCTGACAGCTGAGACCTTCCTAGGCACTGTGGGGTTCTGCAATTAGCCCGCCTCTCTACACTCCAGCTGCCTGTGCTCTCTTCTCTCCCATGCTCTTCAGAACACCTGCTAAACTCCAAACAGGCTAATCCTTCCAAAACCCCATAATCACACCATGCTCATCCCCAGGGCTTTGGCTAGGTTGCCCCTTCCCTCCTGGAATGCCTTCCCACTTTCCTCTGCTTGTCCATATCCTGCCTTCATTCAGCACCTAACTCCAGTTCTTCCTCTTCCACAAAGCCTTTCCTGATCACTCTGGCCTTCAGAGATATCTCTACAGCTGTACTCTGCCACCCAATTTAGCACATGATCACGGCAGGTTTGTACCATGTAATTAGTGTAGGTTTTCCCTGGCCACTTGGATGTAAGAAACTTCACATTTATTTGTTCTATATTATGATCTCTGGCTTGGCGCCAGCCACGAACACTAATGAGAAATCCAGTATCAGCCACTAACAGGGACGCCCCCTCCTTTCTGAGGTTCTTGTAGTGGCTGTTAGGGCTGGTCTTTCTTTCAGCACACTGTTATCACTGACAGGTTATTCACTATCTATGCCCCAAAGCCCATTAGGTAGGAAGTGGGAGCCAAATTCAGCCGCTATGCTGAGCACAGTGTGACCTCTCAGCAAATCCTTGTTGACAAACTGGCATGGGGTGTGCTGAGTCCCCTCCTACTGCCCCCACCCCCACGCCCACCCCCCAGGACCTGTTCTTTGTACCTCTCGGCACCGCGCAGTTTCCCAGCGCTCCTCGACTCTTCGCAGGGCCGGGCAGTGGCCACCCCGGATTGGTTAGGCTTGTGCCCTCGTGATCATGGAAGTGGGCCGGGAGCTTGGTGAGTCGGTGCGGCTGGAGAGCTTGGACCCCGAAGCCCAGAGCTGCAGTCAGCACCCTCACGCTGCGTCCCTGGCAGTCCCTGCCTTCCGGGGGCGGGCTGGGGGCCTCGGGCAACCGCATCCGAGGTCCTGGAGCCCGTCAGGTCCCATGGTTCACGTCTTTTCACCTGGAGACAGCATGCCTGTCTCTCGGCTTTGCCAAAGTTTCCTTCACACGAGGAGGGCCCTGAATTACAGAAGTTGCTTTTCACCGGTCAGTTTCAGCCACCCTGGCGCGAGTCCCTCGTTCGCCTTTGTCAACGAGGCAAAGACTCAGTTGTTCACCCAACTGTGTCTTGCTGGGGGGCAGCCCTTTCCCTGCCCTTCCCTTCTGTCTTAGAAGCCCCAAGTGTGCCTTTCCCTGACCCTGCTCTGAGGCGCGTGGAAAATCTGCTTCTGGCGCAGATTCCGAGTTTTGACCTCCCCTCATATATGTCTTTCGCTTCTGCCCACGTGGGGCCACTTTGGCATAGCTGGGAATGGAGCCGGGGAGGGAGGAGTGGGTCGGAACAGGTTGCAGCTGGCAGCTCGCTTATTAGGTGTTATTTTACTGCTGGGCAAAAAAGACCACAATAGCACTCCCAGGGAGGCCTCTAAAGCTCCAGGCACGGTGTGTCGCGGGACCATCCAGTGCTGGCCCTGTGCGGGACAGGACGCGGTCTGGCTGCTGCCCTGGGCGCTCAACATCAGGGCTGTCAGAGGGGAGTGCCATGTGAGTTCCTGACAAATGGAGGTTATTTTATTCCCGGGATTTACAACCCGATGTATTTTCAGGGAGGCCCTTCCTAGGTACCTCCACTTCTCAGTCTCTCAACTCAGCAGCCTCCATCCATTTCCATGAATCTGCTGGACTCGCTCCTGCAAAACACGGTGTGAAATTGACTTCTAATTGGAAGGAAGACTTTCTTTTCCAACCCCATCCACTGCAATTCTTCTGTTTTCAGCACTCTGGTGTTCTGTTTGATTTTTTTTTTTTTTTTTTTTTTTTTTTTTTTT